CGCTCGATCCTGGAGATAAGCCTTGAGAAGCAATACGTAATCCCCGGGGAATGCGGGGAGAACCGAAATCGATCACTGATGAAGGGATACCCCAGTACAGGACCGGAAGGGGAAACGAAATATTTGACTCCTACGCATCGCATCCCAGAAAGAATTCTGCAGCGATTGGTTGAGTGGAGTAGAGGGAGATTAGTATTTATATCTACTATCTTGGAGGTACTTCCTTCCCAGGAAGGGCGGCCACCATATCTGGTCAGTGTCATGATGCATCGAAACTCACATGAGCACGATGTTTAGGGAAGTTAGTTAGAATAAGCCTGACTGGGGGACATAAGGCCATGGGCTACTCGACCTTGACATCAAATATCGGCGAATTTGTCCTTTGCCGTTGCAAGCCTATCCATTGATGGTGTCTGCAGTGCTTTTCGTACTGATGAGTGAGGTTTCTAGTTGCGCCATGAGTTTCGGGTAAGTTTGTGGGCTTGAACGTGATGTATTGACTCTTGAAGATTCGCTGTAACGCGTTTCCGATACGAATCTTATAAAGTGCACGGTCAAGGCATTCTCATAAGCCAGTAGTTGAACCTATCTACTAATGAGACAGGGACTTGTGGTAATACTTTGCAATCAACCACAGCTATGGGCACAGTGAGTCGAATCAACACATCAACTCATCACCGTAAAATATGTCCTAGTAGAAGAGAGCACTATTATACCTCGCGCCCGGCTCGGCCAACTGCAATCCATTTCAATTTAATTCGATTCAACTCGTATACTTTTACCAATCAACCCCGCTATTTAAATCCTACCTATGCAGGTGCTTTACCTCTTGAAGCAAGAATATGGCCCGGAACACCATTAAGCCCAACCATTCTGCAATACTCACAAAGCAACGCACTCCACGGCGCAGGAAGGTCGTCGTCGTAGCTAACACAACTAAATGACAAAAGCAAAAGCGTAGTCATACAACAGTAGAGATATAAGAGAGTGTCACAGCCGCCTGGCTGTCTGCGAGTTACCATCCTCTCCATTCTTCGTCCCTTACCCGGCTCCCAACATGCTTGTTCCTTCTGCATTTTCCCAGCGTCGCTGCCCTGGGTCTATGTCTCCTGTGGTCGCCTCTTAGTACCTTCTACCTTAGGCATTACAAGGATGCACTAAAGGCGCTGAAGAGCCAACACAAAACGATGGAACACATTTATCTGAATAATAGACGCAAAAATATGTTCCATAATGATATCACTTTTCGCTCGATTCTTTTGACTGCCTTGCACCTGTCACATATGTACTCCCAGGAATATCAGGTACCGAATGTTCATCATGACCGCTTACCACAATGATACGAGAAACAGAGTCCATACAGCGGTTGAAGGTCATTAGGAAGTTCTTGTGGGAACAGTACAACTCAGACATCTTCCGAAGAGAAGCATACAGGAATCCATCCTCGACATGAAGATAAATTGCAACCCGTACGTTCGCATGAGAAAAAGCAACAGAAGAAACGTAAGCCTTTTCCGAAAAAACTGCTAGATATATCAGATTTCGATTGTGTCTGTACCTCTATCCGTCGTGTCTCGAAAAAGCTAGTTCATGGAATCATGGAACATATCCACCCGAAAAATTAGATATGCAGCTACCTGGAGATATATATATAGACATACGAGTGAGCAGGTTGTATGCCGTATGAATCATACTAGAATAGGTCTAGATTCCGCCATCATAAGTGGAAGCTACATTCCCGTGCGAACCAAGCATACGATGCCCACTACATGTAGGATGGCACAGACGGGCAACATCTTTGCTAGTAACCACGCTAACTACGGTATCGACGTAGCGATTCATGCTGTCTACGGAATAAGCGTATTATGCTGGCTTGCAAACAGCCAATGGGAGAGGAATTGGTCAGTGAGCGGTGTTCAAATTGCGGGAACTTTTCATGGCCGTTTCAGGTGATTGAATTGATAAGGACGGTACCCGACGATCAGTGGATACTAGATATACTGATTCAAAGATAATGTCAGGAACTATGTTTTTGCTTCCCGAACATCCAAATTGTAAACTTAGATGCCTGATAAGTGGGCATGGATCCAGATGTTGTAACTTAGGGTTGTGACGATCGTTCGGCGGGAGTTGCCAAACGCGGAGGCCCTCGGAGATACGACCAGGTCGAACCACAATTCATGGAAACATCCCCAGACCTTGAGAACATGCCGAGAACGTGCCTGACAGGTTTTCTGCAGCTTATCCTACTGCTGCAGTAGCTCGGACCGTCGGGCGAATTAGGACCACTCCTGCTGCAGAACGCCTCTGCAGTTGCCGGCCGACCGATATCGCATTCCTTAGAACAGGAACAGTGTTGAACGTCAACAAATAGACGTACCTAACCTCTGCTAGCTTTCGCTTCTGCCTTGACTTAGTATTGACGGACTCTTCTGTGCCGTCCCATCGTACGACCAGTCCTCTGCACAATGCAGGACCCATCTTAACTTCAATCGTTACTGGCTGTCCTTACCATGACCTCAACGGCTGCTTAACAGAGAAGCGATCTACTGCAGCACTCGTCATCCAGTCCCACCCTCTCTACTTCAAACATGAGGAGCTATTCTAGCCGACATGATCATGTCTTGTCTGCTTCATGGAGAACTATATAAATTCCGTCCACCACCTATATCCTGGACATCATTCCTCTCATTCCTCCAATTCAGCCGGTCACCATGCTTTCTTCCAAGACCGCAGCCTTCGCAGGCTTCATGGCCTTTAGCGCTCTTTCTGGAGTCGCTGCCACCTACAACTTTGCCGTTGCCGATCCATATGGCCTTCCTGAACCTGTTATGATTGACTTCGATGATGACGGAGTTGTCGGTGGCCTCTACCGGCCCAACACCACGAGCCCTCTGTCCCGTATCGGTGTCTACGTGATGCACGCTGAGCAGGATTACCTGAACTTCTCAGCCTGCCACGAGCTCCCCCGCCGCGGTTTTACTACCTTCTGCGCAAACAATGATGCCAGCAAGAGCGGCTATATGAACGACATTGACTTCGAAGATATGATGACCAACGTCGCCCAGGGCATGAGCTACTTGCGCAACCTGACTGAGATCGACAAAATTGTCATCTTCGGCCACAGTGGTGGCGGCGCCATGATGACTGCCTACCAAAACATCGCCGAGAACGGTGTCAAGGCCTGCAATGGTCCCGAACGTATCTACCCCTGCTCCGACGCCATGGCCGACCTGCCTGCCGCCGACGGCCTTCTTCTCATTGACGCCAACTACGGACTCTCCACCATGTCTCTTCTGAGTCTCAATCCCGCCATCGTTGACGAGCACTCAGGTGCCAAGATCGATCAGTCACTAAACCTTTACAACACCGCCAACGGCTTCTCCGAGTCCGGCGCCAACTACACCCAGTCCTTCAAGAAAGCCTTCGAAAAGGGTGTCGTTGCTCGCAACAACCGTATACTGGAACACGCCGAGTCCCGCCTGGCCGCTATCAACAACGGCAGCGGTATCTTCAGTGACGACGAGCCCTTCTACATCGTCGACTCCATGTACGTCGGCTTCAACAACAAGTTCTTCGCCCAGGACACCCGCTGGATTCACCACACCACCCACCCCTGGCCTCTTCTTCACCGCAACGGATCGATCACCACGCAGATTGTTCCCTCCGTTCGTGTGCCCGCTAACTTCGAGAGTTTCGCCGACAACTTCGAGGGAGGCGCCCTCAAGACCACCATCAAGCGTTACCTCTCCACTCTGGCTATCCGCGTCACTGACGACTTCGAGTACAAGGTGGATGGTTTCGATGGTATTGTCTGGAACTCTAGTCAAACTGCTCCGCTCGGTAACATCGGCGGTGTTACCGTGCCTTTGCTGACTATGGGCAACACCGGCCACTACGAGTACCTGAACGCTGAGAAGCTCCACCTTGCTGCTGGTAGTAAGGATGCCGAGATTGCTTTCGTCGAGGGTGCTCAGCACACTATTGTCACTTGCACTGCGTGTGAGACGTACCCCGGGGAGTATGGTAACACTCTTTACACTGCTTACAACTACATGGCGGAGTGGTTGAGCAAGGAGGGTCGGTTCTTGTAAGCATTTCGCGGACATCGTGTACGATAGACTATCTATCCTGTATCTTGTATAGTCACTGTGTGTGAAATAGCTAGCTTAGGACTAATTCACTCAATTTTATCAATCCTTAAACAAAAATTCCTGGCAATATTCTACGTATTTCGCTCGTCCCTTGTCGTTTTGTCTCGTTCCCGTGAAGAGCCGTAGACTTATCATCCGCATCCTCTTCAGACAACAAACCAACTCGTCTTCATTTCTTTTCAATACATCATCAAGCAGCAGGTTAAGTCCAAGGCCATCACCGCCAAACTCAACGCAGTATCTTCGCCCGAGATCTCAACCCTCAACATTGTTCTCCTTGCTTTCCGTCCCCACAATCCGCTCATCCATACCGAAACCAGTTTAGTCTCCGCAAATGCCGTGCGTGGGGGATCTCAAGGGCCCGGATGGAGCAATGATATTCTCAGAGAGGGGTATCTGCAGAGTTGGGGTTTCAATTCAAGGCACGCACAATTGTTTGCTAGTATAGTTAAGGTTGGCAAAGGCTTCGGTGACTATCGGAAAAGGCAGACGCAATTCCCGACTTCATCCGGAAACCCCGAAGCGCGCTAGCGCGGGAACGATCCTGAGCGTGTGTCTAGTGGTACTATCTTGCTGGGCTCAATACATTCCCTAAAATGATACTAGCAGATGTGAAATAAAACTATGGGTTGAATTGAGTGTCATTACCTGCATAATGGGGTTTCGCCTCTGAGGCGTATCAGTACTCTAAATGGGACAACGGCCTCGACTACTTCGACGAGTCATGCTTATGATCTGAAATGGCGTTTTGATATAAGTGCTGGCCTGGGAGAGGAGGTAACCCAAGCTATTCTGGGATACCAGGCTATAAGACACCCTTCACATTCTAATTCATTGTTCTCTAATTCATTGTCCTCCTTTGGCTACCGTAATATCAGAATTCATTTGATTTCTGTTGAAATAACAAGTCATATTAGAGCTCTTCGAGAGAGCTCTCCCTGTATCCTGCCATCCACTATGTTGATAGTAGCCATGGGAAACAAGGTAGGTAGGTTCCGTCATTGATTTCATATAGCTGCAAACGCGCATTCCAGACTTGTTAGTACCGTGGTCGGAGATGTAGCCCATTGTCTTCAGGAACAGGCGAAAGAGCCTGTCTAACAGGATCCCTGATCACAATGAAGACGTGGATAAGCTCGCTATCGAATCTGGAGAACAAAATCAGCTGTTGTTAGCACTCATACCGGATGTATGGTGATACTGGTACGTTTGAAGCATACCTGCTTCCGTTAATATTGACGCACGTAGCCTCTGCTTCGTCGTCGCGGGCATAGATAATTCTCGTAATTCTTTGACGGGATCCACTTCTGGAGGACGGAGGAGGCGTCTCATTCTCCAACTCGATAGCGTTTCGTTGGGAAGCATAGAAATCATATGACGCGCCTGATAGCAATTCGTCTGTGTCCTCGTCAAATATCTATATAAACAGACCCAATTCAATCAGACCTTCAGCCGAAGCCCGGCGCTAGGCGCTATTGTAAGTGGCAAGCATTGGAAGTATCATATCATGCCGATAATAGTTCCGAAAGAGGAAAACTGCAGTCGTTAAATCTCGACCTCAATGTAGCTGGAGAGTCCCTTATGCAAAGTCAGGGAATAGTTTTTTTTTTTTTTTTTTTTTTTTTATCCGCCCAAGTAAAGTCGCTCGGGCCTTGAGACGCAGAGAGCTATAAGATAAGAGATTTGGAGAGAAGAAAAGTTGTGTTATTCACCTGATGTTTATCTCAGAATCTTTCGGCGTCGGTTCAAGTGAAGAAGAATTTGAGTGTGGTGCTTCTTCATCTTGTGCCTGCGCCGCGGCTAATGATGCGTCTGAGAGCCCAGTAAAAACGATATTTTCGTATGTATCAGCCTGTACATAGGATATATCAAACAGTGTGAGCCTCGGCACCTGAAGTTATTGAGCTGGTTAGATTGCTGCTATCCGCAATTTTTGTAAGGCAAATATTTTAGCAAGGAAGGGGCAGATTTACCACTCTGCCTGCTACATCTTTGTCCTTCTTCAAGTGGTCAAGCATCTCATCAATGTGCCCTATGACGAAAGGATTGGGAGATATGTGCAGAAAATTCAGATGGCACTGTGCCATGGGTGCGTTGAGGAGTCTCGGCCTCTTTCCACACTGCAAGATTGCTCTCTCCAGATCTCGTGCAGGGGAGTCCTGAGCCTTGCAAAGTATGTGAATGTGGCTAAGCTTCTCTGAACTTGCTGGTTCTTCATATTCGGCAGCGTACAATCTTAGAGCTTCGAAGAATGAGGGAGCCACTTCTGTTGTACCAGTGGCCGACGATCTAGTATTTTGCCCGGAGATACACTCCCCTAGACGCTGGCTTAGTTCGGCTGCCAACTGTTCCTCGTAGTTGGATCCAGTCTATGATGGATGTGTCGTGATTATCGTCTTATATGTATCAGCCTGCTCTTTCAGGGTCATTGATGGCCTCCCGTGGTCTTCGTTATGCCGAGGGTATCAAGCTTTACCCCTGGTCCATCACGATTGTCAACGACGGTCTCCAGGTCGTGCAGAATCATTAAACTGGGCGTTAGCTCGTATAGTTGATTCACTGCATAACTAATCTACTCAAGACGGATCGGCGGCTCTTCACGTTGGTATGCAGGGCTAATATCGAGGGGACGAGCTGTCACTAAACATTGTGGAAAGCATTTGCCAATGAGTGTGTAGGTCCCAATATACTTCGTGGTGGCTTCCCAAGCCAAACATCATACCTGACTTAATCATGGCTTGTATGCGCCATAGTATCTTGAAAACAGGAATCACAGAGTAGGGCAGTGTTGTGGACGTGAGAATATGTGAATCGGCGAAGGAAAAGAAGTCGGAGTCGACCATTGATATGCTTGCCCGGGTCTGCATTTTTGCGATCTAAAGAAGAATGTTGCCGTCCTTCTGCCAAACTTATTGCGAGCTCGAGCGCGGGATTCACGACATGCGGAATCATGCTTATCTAAAGATCCTTGCTACTACACGTGCGAGAATGGTCGAGGTTGTTTGCTTATCCTCCCTGATCGACCCCGCATAACGTGGTCAAACTTCAGCAACAAATTCATTCTTCTGACAGGCTCGCTAAGCATATTCAACTCACGCCATCAACGGATGTCTGGATTTGAGATAGGCGGCCTAGTCTTGAGAGCCTTCCCCCTTGTAATCACAGCCATTGAGGAATACAAGAAAGGCCTGAAAATTCTGCGACTATGGGAGACGAAGAACTACCGAATGGAACTCGCGGCCATACAGCTAGAAATTGAGGTCCATTCCTAGCACAGCGAATCATCATCAAACACTCAAACATCAGCCGGGCCGCCAGCAATCTTTGGCATAAGAAACCGCGCCCTTTACAACCTTGGTATCATGCTCTTAGGACTCGTATTGAACGAATCCCTGTCCTCCCTTCGTGTACCGGACTTGGGCGGTGCCCTCGAAACCGAAGACCACTGTACATGGACATTGTACAGCCTCTGCAGGGCATGGTGGATTTACTGGATGGACGGTTAGGCAGTCCGAGCGAAGATCCTTATTTTTACTCCATTGCTTAGAAGACAAATGACACGACGTGCTGAATTACTTCACCATATCCCAGCCACACCACGCAACTCTATGTGTGACGCTCCCACGTATCTATATTCTTCCCCACCATCGCACTATTTGGATTATGTATGCCTCAATGCAAGAAATGGCGGGTCAGGACTTAGTATATGTAGTTTGACAGCAAATCGTTTCTTCCAATAATCAACATCATAAGATGACCACTAGGTATGTCCATCACAGTTTATGACAAAGTAGATTGGCATACAGAGTATACTCACCTTAAAAGATAGTCAAGTAATGACTGAGCCTTCATCGACTATCAGGCATGCCGTGCCCTATATCCGGGCTCTCGGAGATCTCCCCGGTTTTACCGTCACTTGATGGGGGCCATTACTACTTGCTGCAATGTCTGGTGATTGCAGAATATCGCAGATTTACATCTACATTGCGCTGAACAGAGAAAGACTTGTGGGTATACCAGAGTCGGTTTGAGCGCAGGTCGCGAGCAAAGTTGTAAAGACTGATTTGAGACTGCCATCAGCAAAATTCAATGTTGGCTTGCTGATACATGGGTAACAATGCAGCACTGTTAGATGGTAAAACAAGAACTGGCCTGTTGCAGCTTTGCATGTGTATCCTTTTTGTCTTTCGCTAACCAGGAACATAGAACCTAACAAACGGATCATTGTAGAAGAGGTTTAACGAACATATGAGATACCATTATTATTACTACATTTTCACTTTTTCTCTATACCCAAACCAGTCCCTATACATCAAGTAACCTAATCAACCCTAACCTCCACCTCCACGACCCTCTGAATCTGCAACGGCCCCTCCCCATCCTTCCCTTCTCCACTTCCTCTCCCCCTGCCACTTCCCAACGAACTCCTCTCTCCGCCACTACTATCCCCATCACCGTGTCCAATTGTCGTAGTCACCGCGACGGAATTATCCCACGGCCTGTTTCTTCCAGCACTGGCCTCCCCCAAATCCAGGATCTCAGCCTGGTCATCCGTCTCAGAAGGTAACATGCGACTCTGGTTGCGCTGCGTACGACGAACCCCACTCAACGCGTACGAGCGGCCAGCATCCATGGTCTGGCTTTGCGAGGCGTGTTGGCGTCGTTGGCGGCGGGTGTTGTAGCTTGAGGTGAGGGTCGAGGCGAAGGCGTGGAAATAAGGACCATAGGTGGGGACGCATGCGATTATCACCTGGTTTTGGGGGGTTCTTGTTAGTGGTGCGGCATAGGGATGTGGTGTTAACGGAAATCTTGCTTACTCCCAGGCTTATTTCCACTTGCGACCATAAGACGATCGGTTCACTGTCAGTGTAGGTTTTGAGATGCTTGATGGTGAAGATACGGATGACTTGGATGATGGTAATGAAGAATCCTAGGGCGAAGAGGGCCATGAGAGCTATCTTAATTGTTTGGTTGACTTGTTAGTGTACGTTGGATGGGAAGAAAGGGAGGGCGAGGACCGGATGACACCTTTTGCGCTTGTCGGAGTTGTAAGGACCATAGGACTGGGAGTGGGAGGGCAATAATGACTATGTCAAAGCCCAGGCTTGTTCCTGTTGTTTCGGTCATGAATTGTCTTCTTAGTGGGATAAAGGAGGGGATGAATGTACCGGCCAATGCTGTTATTCTGTCAGTATGGATCATGATGATGGCCGTGGGCGCATACCATAATATGAAGCAACCGTGTCAATGCATGTTCCTGGAAGACTCGCGTCCCATTGCTTTGCGACCTAATCCTTTGTTAGATAGATCCCGCAGTGAACCGAAATATACTGACTGGATTGCATGCCAATGTTAAGAGAAAAGTGAAAATAACCTGGTTGCACACCACTGCTATCACCACGCCAATGATACTCCATCGATAGGTGGCCACGAAACCTCCGATCCGCAGATAAGAAGTCAGGAGAGAAACCTTGAAGCAGAGAATAGCGAGGATATACGTGGGGCCGCCTGCGTATTGGATCTGAATTGTCACCAGTGTCAGAAATCCACGGCAAAGAGCGGAAACAGAGGTTTGCCGACCTTACTGAACATCACCACGTTCGCATCTGGGAACGAAGCTGCATCCAGTCCTAAACCATACCGTGTTTCTAAACCGTCAGTTGCACTGGTCATTCAGGTTGTCCAAGGGCAGCGTACGGGCCACTGCAATCCCCGCGTAAGCTAATCCTAACACTGCACTGCATGCCGCCAGGTAGTCGTCTAGCCAAAGGGCACGTTTCGAATGCAAGCGGATATAAAACCGTAGGAAAAGGGCGATCACCGCACTGATGCTGAATGTCAAGCAGATCGCGATCACTCGCGCCACATGGCTGTGGGCATCCGGGTGGGCAAGATTATGGACCCAACCCATGGCATTCCACAGTTGATCGTAGAAACTGGGAAGACATGAGAACAGAAATTATTCTGCCCGACACACACGGTGCAGGGTGAGATCCCCCAACCCTAGATACCAAGCATCTTCAGGTGAGATTTTAATTAATCACACTTCTGCAGGCATAATCCCTGTCAGCCATATGGAAAAGCCGAGGAAATTGCGAGAACTTGGCGATTACGCGATGGATCGAATCCTGGCAAGCGAAATGAAGCTAAATGTAAGACATCGCCGGACTGGAAACCATGCCAGAAACCGTCGCCGCCACACAGACACTAACGACCCGCTGTGGAGATGCCCTAAGCGTCCGCCAGGAACGGGGGAATCGCGCCGCGTAGACCCCAAGCGGGGCAAACCCTGTCCGGTTAAGAAGCGGAGAGACTAAAAGCCTAGGCCAATATCGGTCAGCTCGCATGATAGGACGACGAAGATGGTGGAGGAGCCTGTATATTTCGAGGACCTTGGCCGAGACCGTTGGAAACTAGATCCAAGCGGCGCGGTGGTTTGAGCAAATAGAATGCCATGCAGCTGACTATGTGGGCGAAGAGGAAGAATAGCGTCGAAGTTGCCATGAAACCTCTCTGCCTAAACGTGTGCAGAGTGCACGAAAGGTGTGTTCCGAACCCAACAGGGATCATGCCATCTAATTAATATTTTCACTGGCAACGGAAATGACTTGGCCCACAGCACCTAATGTAAATGCAATTCTAGGAGCCGACGGATGCCGGTAGTGGCATAGGAGTTTCAGCATTATCGACAGGGATATAAATCGGTCATCCCCGGTCACTTCGGAGGGATTCCCGAGCATAGCTTGTTATCCCTCGATCATGTTGGCACCATCCCTCTGGACTAGCTTGCTGGCCCTCACGGCCTCAGCCTCAGCTTCGGCCATTAGCAGCAACTCTTCCAGCTGCCGCTGCTTCCCTGGAGATGCCTGCTGGCCCTCCCAGAGCGAATGGGCTCAGTTCAACGAAACTGTTGACGGTCGCCTCATCAAGACCATTCCCTTGGGCAAGCCATGCCACTCTCCCTACTACAATGCCTCAGTCTGTGCCTCACTGAAGGAACAATGGACAGAGCCTGAGCTTCAGTAAGGTGCATTTCCCAATGTCACATCCCCTTTGCTAATATCTTCGCCCACTAGCTACACCTCCAGCAGCTCTGTCATGGCCCCATGGTTCGCCAATGGCAGCTGTGACCCCTTCCACCCGATCGACAAGCCCTGCACGATGGGCAACTACATCGATTACGCCGTAAACGTCTCCACTCCTGCGCATATCTCGGCCACCCTCCGCTTTGCCGACACCCATAATATCCGGCTGGTGATTCGCAACACCGCCCACGACTACAATGGCAAGTCCACTGGTGCAGGTGGTCTGGGCGTGTGGACACACAACCTGAAGTCCAGGACGCTTATCAGTAACTACACGGACTCGCACTACACTGGCGCTGCTGTGCGGCTGGGCGCAGGTGTGCAGGGATTTGAGGCATACGAGTTCGCTGATGCCCACGGCTACCAGATAGTAGGCGGAGAGTGCTCCTCAGTGGGTATTGCTGGTGGATACTCGCAGGGTGGTGGACACTCTGCGCTCTCGTCGCGCTACGGGCTCGCAGCTGACCAGGTCCTCGCCTGGGAGGTTGTTACCGGTACTGGCGAGTTTGTGACTGCTACCCGTGATAATGAGTACAAGGATCTTTACTGGGCGCTGAGTGGTGGTGGCGGTGGTACTTATGGTGTTGTTGTGGCTATGACCTCCAAGCTTCACACATCTACCCCTACTTCCGGTCTGAGCCTGACTTTCACCAACTCCAACATCACTCAGGATACCTTCTTCGAGGCTGTCACTCTGTACCACACCCTTCTTCCTAGCATTGTTGATGCTGGTGTCATGAGCGTTTGGTACTTCACCAACACCTCCTTCTACATCTCCCCCCTCACCGGACCGGGTGTCCCTGTTGCCACCCTCCGCTCGTTGGTTGCACCCTTCGAAGCCGGACTCACCAAGCTGGGTATCAACTACACTCTTGAAGCCAAGATGTTCGACACTTACCTCGAGGAATTCAACACTATGGAGGCCGAGATCGCCGTTGGCAAGGCCCAGTATGGCGGGTGGTTGATCCCCCGCGAGGTTGTGGTGCAGAACACCACGGCCTTGACGGACGCGTACCGCCAGATTGTGTCTGACGGAGCCACCTTTATCGGAGTCGGCTTGAATGTCAACCGCTCTATTGCTGGCGACGTTGACAACGCTGTTCTGCCTGCCTGGCGTGAGGCTCTCATTGATACTACTCTGACGACTCCCTGGGAGTGGGATGCCCGCGCCGAGATGATCGTCGAGCAGGACAAGATGACTTACGACTACATCCCTCTGCTCGAGGCTCTGGCTCCTAACTCTGGAGCGTACATGAACGAGGGCAACTTCCAGCAGCCTAACTGGAAGAAGGCCTTCTATGGCGTCAACTATGACCGCTTGTTGCAGGTCAAGAACAAGTATGATCCCAACGGACTGTTCTATGCTCTTAAGGCGGTCGGCTCGGATGCTTGGACCCAGTTGGAGGATGGTCGGTTGTGCCGCGCCTAGAAATCAGTTGTAATTCCGATGTAAAATAGATTGTAAATAGGGAGATATAGATGTGTTGATTATGTTTTGAGGGCATGTTATATGTATATAGCTAGAGTCGAAAAGTGTTTTGTATCTCTTGATGCTTGCCTCTACATTATAACATAAGGATCTTAGTTCTGAACTCCGAGCATAGACATTATATCGGATGCAACAGGGTCCATGCCTAGCCCCTGCGATATCTCCGTGGATGATGTCAGATCATAGTTAGGCAGGATCTGTCTTACCGCGCCATAATTTCCCTTGTCTCAACGTTATCTGCAACAAGCTTTGGACCATACTAGTGCTGATGTTACTCCTGCAATGAATACTAAGACTCTGAAAGGATATTGTGTGCTGATGTGTCCACTTTACCATCAGCTCTTCCAGATCCAACGGGCACTGCAGCCCTCCTAACAGCATTGCAAAATGGAGCTATGTTGCGTGACCAGAGCGGTCTGGCTGCCACGATTGGTCTGACTCAGGCAGCGCTGCAGGCAACCCGATCAGAAGCAGCGAGTGCAGGCCAAGCAGCAAGTCAGAATCTGCAATCTCAGCTCCAAGCGACCACAGATCGACAGAAGACGGCTGCAGATATGGTTACAGATCTTGCTAGAGCTGCTGCTTCTGCCTACACTGGTATACCGCTCGCTGCATCCGCCTCGTCCAACGGCGGACCATCAGCGAACTCCAGTAAAGGTGCTTTCATCAATTATTTCGATAAAACAAAAGAAGGTTCTCCAGGTGCTACGGAGAATAAACCCGCCGCTGGACCACAGCCTGCCCCCGCGCCTGCCCCTGCCCCTGCTCCTGGTGGCCCTAGTCCCTCTGGCGCCGGTCCCGGCGCGGCTGGACACTCCCTTCCTAGTAGTGGAAGTGGCCCTGGCCCAAGTGAAGCAGGCTTTTCACAAAATCCAGCAGCCCGAAGTGCCACTGGCAGGGACACCACACTTTCGGATGTCATCTCTAAGGCAACGGACATGGCAGGCAGAATAGCTGGGACAGGTACCAACTTGCAAGAAGAAGATAGTAGTGGACTGCTCACAACCCGACGCGCATGGCCAAGACTGGATCCAGACGAGGTATTACCGCGAATCAGCAAGCTCAGCGAAAAGCCTGGTGAATTCAACCAGGGCACAGTACCCCTATGCACACCTGGGATGTTCTTCTACCACCTCTTCAAACTCAAGCCGGCCGAGACAGCGCAATTTGCCAAAGACTTGTACGGACTTGGACAGGCGACGTTGGGAGGACTTCGGGTGCGGCCAAGCGATGACTTACGCAGAACAAACTATGTGGATATTGTTTCGAGGAACGTAGCGCTCGAGCTGGTTCCGCCGGAGACAGACTGGATGATGATGTGTAGTCTTCGCGACAGCCGGGATTGGTTTATCGACTATGAAGGTGCGTCGGACGGGTCTGGAACCGTCGCTCTGGACACGGCAGCAATTGAATTGGAGAACTGGTATAATGCAACGGGGTTCTTCACGAATGTTACTTGGAATCCGTACTATGAGGCGGGCCCGTCTGTCGACACTCTGCGAAATTTGGATGTGTCGTCTACCAAGAGTGTTGCTTTGTGGGTTGATTCAAGAGTACTAGGGAGCGGCGACGTGAAGGGTACAACGCATATCATTGGCCTTACCAGTAAGCCTCAAATTAATGCGACAGACAATTCGATCAAGTTCGAGTACTGGACCTGGGGGAAGCCGGCAAGAGTGATGGACGGTAAATTGGATTTAGTCCAGGGGAGTATCAAGGGTGTTTTTGTTGCCACTTTTTGAGAGAAATCAAAAGTCATATCAATGAAGTGGTATGAGTCTGATTTGCATTGAGTGACTCTATCATTTTCACATAACTGTGTTCATACTTCAAGTTGCCATTGAGAAGATGATGAATCCAAACCAAGCTACCCGGTTAACGAAAATCTTCCATCAACTCTTTCCATTGCTGCTTAGGAATTTCTTCCCTTCAGCGTTTTCAGTATAGGTGCCCACCTGAAGGGCCAGTCAGCAATTATATAGAGAAGTAGGAGACAGTGTAGTTACGCAGCAATATCCCCATCCTTGATATACACTGAGATTCCGTCCGCCTTCATCTGGCTAGTCTCTAGTACTACATATCTTTCACCGCCTTGGATAGTAACATTGTTGCCTGTCTTGGCCCATCTCAGACATGCCTTTATCCTGCATCTAACCCTTTACCCTCAATCCCAATCACAACATTCCATCGTACATCTCATGCAGATTAAATCACCCCCAGCTCAAGAGCCCTCCAAACCACCACCCCCACCTCCACCCCCAAAACCATTTTCAACCAAACAACCCCCACCCACCCACCTTCCCAACATACTACTTCTTCTACGGAACCCTAACCTCCCCAACGCAAGTTGCTCGAATCCTCGATCTACCTGAGCAGCCACACCTCCGCAAAGCTGAAGCAACAGGCTACGCCATTGCTAAATGGGGCGATTACCCCGCTCTTATCAATGGGAATGAAGGACAAGTGGTATCGGGGTCTGCGTACCTAGTCAAGTCCGAGGAAGAGGCGCAGAAACTAGCACGTTATGAGACGAATACGTATGAAGCTGTGGATTGTCTGATCTTCTTCAAGGATGGGGAGCAGCCGGACGAGGCTAGTGGGAAGGTGTTTGTGTATGCGGGGGATGCGCAGGCGCTGGTTGAGCGGCGATTTGATCGGGTGCTTTGGGGGAGGCAGATGGGTGGGGGTCGAGGGTTATGATTTGATAGTCTTCGTTTGGTGGTTTGGATATTTTGTTCTTCCTTTGCCGCTCTTCTTCACAGCGATGTCCCCCTGCACACCTACTTGATATAACTATACATTTACAACAAAACCATCCCCAACCCCGCCACAACACCCGTAACAATATACACACCCACCTGCCACGCCCCAACACGAACCATCATCACACTTCCCCTTCCCGAACTCGCACTCCCTGCCGACCCAACAGCACTCACACCGGCCGTTCCACTTGCACTCCCACTCGCCGCCGCTGTCGCCGATGGCTTACTCGTAACCGTCCCCGTCCCCTCCGTCCCAGCCTCCTTCATCAGCGCGCTACATGTCCCCGTCGCCTTGACAGTACTAGTCGTGGTCGCAGACCCCCCAAACCCACACGCATTCGCCTTCTTCCCCTGCTCTTGCCAGTACTTATCGAGGACGAAATTCAACTGCTCCTTTGCGCCGCACATGCTATACGCGCCGTAGTTTCCCGTGGTACCGTTATGCAAGATGCCATCACAGGAGGTCATTCCGCACACAGTGCTGAATAGGTCCGCGTAGTCGCTGGACGAGACGGAGTCTTTGACCACGCATCCGGAGGCGTTGTCCATGCAGGTGCAGAGTTGTTCGTTGGGGGTGGGTGGGAGAGGGGAGGATGTGGCCAGCCAGGAGTTAGAGGATACAGCTGGGCAGGATTCTAGGGCTGTGTTGGTGGGCGTGTAGGATGCTTTGTTTGTGCCAGTGGGTGTGGCGCTGGCCATCTGGGAGGAGTAGTAGGTGAAGTCGGCGAGTTTGGAGACGCTGGTGCTGTCGATGGCGGAGACGAGGCCTATCCATCTGATCAGTTGAGGGTCCTTCAGTTTTGCAGTGAATAAGGGCAATAGGGGGGTGGGGGTTACCGTAATCATTATCCGTCTGGAAATACATATACACAATGCCCCCAGACCAAACATCATTCATCTTCTCCCCAAACAGCGTCTTAATCTCCGTGAACTTCCTCGGCTGGACCTCATTACATCCATACTCGGAGAAGAACACCGGCACGGAGTAATTTCTAAACTCTTCCGTCCGCTTATCAAAGCCGGACTTAGTATAACTCGACTCTCCACACCAGGAGTAGATGTTATACCCCCAGAAATCAATACTCTCTTCCTCACTCCCACAGTTGAAGTAATCCGCCATATTGTCCCGAATGTCGGAGTCATCGTTAGTCGCATACCCAACACCAATGGATCGATACCCCTGGCTCTTGATGTAAGCTTTCGTATCCCGGACGGCGGCTTTGACGAAGGCGCTGGCGTCCGTAGTGGCGACGTCATTGGAGACTTCGTTGCCGGCGAAGAAGCCCAATGTGTTGTTGTATTGGATGAGCTCGTCGATGACGTTCGTGTAGCGCGTGTACAGGCTGGTTTCCCAGGCTGGATCGGAGCGGTCGATGGATTGTGTTGGGTTGGAGAGGTCCGAGATCACGTAGATGCCGGCGGCGGCGAGTAGGTTCATGCATGTGCTGTGGTCTTTGGTGGGGTCGATGGCGTAGACGCGGATAACGTTGGTGTTGAGTTCTTGCAGGATGGGGATGTCGCGTTTACAGAGGGTGGGGTTGGCGAGGGGGTCGGTGTAGCTGGAGGATGAGTTGCCGGTGTAGTCCTCTAGGATGTGTTAGATGGAGTGGTTGGGGGGTGAGGGTTAGGGGACGTGCCTTGGTAGGCGACACCGCGGATGTAGCTGGTATGGTTAGTTTGATGGCCTGGGTTGTATGGGAATTGGGAGAGTACAATTGGGTGTTGTTGCTGCTGTAGAAGAATTTAGACCCCTGGACTGTCGTTAGCCAGGATCAACATCTCAGGCTGGGCTGAGCTGGTTTACCTTGATGACGATAGGATCAATATCCACTGCAAGAGCAGAGCCCATCAGGGCTGCTCCAACAGCCAGAGACAGTTTCATGGTAACGAACAAACAAAATGGATGTATAAAAGAGCGACTGATATCAAACGAGCGACTATGATGACGGAATTCCAAACTCAAACACCCCCCCGGGATTTCACTAGACATTTAAACAGCAGCCTTTTCTTGTCCTCTGTCCACCCACGACTCAATCACACCGTAACCGACGCCCCTGCCATGATCTTTGCGACACGCCAAGATCAAGCCAAGTATAGCTGCCTGAAAAGTCCAATATTTAGCCAAGCAAATAAGACCTATACGGTGAGTGGGAGTGGCTATTGGGTGGGACGTTATCCCAGAACATGGTGTAGTGGCAGATAGCGTCTTGGTGAAGTGGATGCTTATCTCCGGATAGAGGCAAGCAGTGGGTCGGAGTCGAGGACCGGATAAACTACATGTACGGCCAAGACCTCGCCTGCTGGTCGGTCAGAGAATAATGAGCGTGCCAAGAGTGGCGGAAGCTGCGAGGGTGTTTTTATTCGTCCGGAAGCGAGAAAAGTCTTGGGAGGTCGATACAGTCAAGTAGTTGTCGATCAGTGCGAGCTGTAGTTAGGTTTCATTGCGAACACCGCATGGAGAGTATGTGATAAGATAGCAGGTAATATTCCAGAAGCATACCCAGTAAAGTAAAATACACGCTCAATCAAACCAAATCATATCCATGTCCATGTCCATACGTCGTCCAGCGCCGAACCCAAACATAATCACAAGAATCAAACATCATTCGCAGTATATTCACACGCCATGTCGCATCTTACATGGCCTCACGACGACGTCGCTCGATGGCTGCCTCGAACGATCGAATAGTGTCCAGCGGCCGCTCGAATCGGTAACGGGTAGGGTTGGACAAGTCGGGTTCAGCTGCGCACAGACAGGCAAGTTAGCTGGCATAATCTTATTTGTTTGAACTGATGAGATGGCGATGTTATAAACGTACTGATGACTTTGCCCTCGCGGTCGCGATGCTGCATTGAGCGTAGAGAGAATCCACTCGATCCAACGCTGTACACTGTTTACCATATTAGCAAGAGATCAGGCAAGCCACTGCTATATTCACATACCAGCCTCTTCACCTCTCAACGCCTGGTTCGGGTCCGACTTGCTGGACAGGGAACTCTTGCCAGCCGAGTGACCCGTCTCGGGCCGGTCAGGGTTAACCGGGGGAGCAGGAGGAGCAGCAGCAGCAGCAGACATTGTGATGTGATAGGATAGGAATGAATTTTTTTTTTCTCGTATTGGTATATGGCTAAGATCTGGGCCAGAGAGGAAGGAACCACGGGTAAGATATAAGAAAGAATCTAGGTAGAGATGACAGATGGAAAAGGTGGAGTGAGTCGGAAGTGGTGGGAAGACACATGCCAGACGGGGCCTATAAATGCAAGAAGCAGCCCGGCTGCATGAAAAAGGTCAGCATGAGCGACTGAGTTTGGAAGCTGACCTGCAGCATCACGCAAGACCGGCCAATGATGGGCATGAGGTTGCGAGCCTTGTTGCCTTTCCAGCCGGGTCTGTGACGCGGCCGCCCGGGCTGGGATGCAATGGAAGCAGGTCCGTGACGTTAGCAGGCCCGCACCCTCCTCTGAGGTAATGGAGAGATATTATTGGCTCTGCTACCTGCCAAGCTTCCACTACTGCACAGAACCCAAGGCTTATCCGGGGTTTCAGCCAATAGACTTGTCTAATCCCCTGGCCGCAAAAAAGATGGGCCGCGCAATCACGGGGGCTGAGGCCGTGGCAATTGCTATTCTAGGCAGCGAGATTTGCATCCGCGATTGGCTCCAACGTTGCTGTTCCTGGCAGGTCCAAATGGGTGATGACGCTTTGAGTCCGCACATCATCAGGGGCCGCCCCAAATTCTGTCAGGGTCTCGCTCGATCCGGCATGCCCGTGCCTGATGCAGTGTTTCATCCTCGGGAATGTACGCAAATGTCGTGTTGCGGTCGCCAAGCCCACAGGTCTAGAACCACAACTCGGTCGGAATAGGGTCGATCTGTACGTAGTAATGAATCAGGGTAGGTATGAGATGCTCTGTCAGTGAGTTGTCTCTCTCCACTGCACCCGAACCGCTCTTGGCGGCCCATCATTGCCGGATGACACTAACACACGGCACATCGCCTGGAATTACTCATAGCCACCTTGTCATGGTGACATCTGAAACACGGTCGCGCCTGTTGACCCGCGAGTCCCGCCAAGCGATCACCTCGGCTCGTGAACGACGGGGGCCCCGAGGATCAGGGGCTCGCCGTGTTATGGCCCGTGTTGGCTGTGTCGTAGAGGTTCCTGGCTGAGACTCGGTTTCACTGAGTAAAAATAGACAAAGTTGCTCAAAAATCAGGCGACGAATCGATAACTATTGCGGGCATTGTTAATTGTTGCTCCGATCGCCGTCGCCCAACTCGATCGCCATTTTAGTGGCCTGATATGTCTAAGAGCCGCTCAGCCATACATGATAAATATAGAACATGCTTCTGCTTAACAATCAGGATATTGAAATTTCCGTCCGAGCATCCACGATAGGCGGGACACCGTGCTGTGGGAATCCCATCGGATAAATTCTCAGAGCGATCAATGGGGCTGTCTCAGAGGAGGGAACTAAAACTTCCGAGACACAGTTATGCAGGATGTCGGTTCCTCGCATTCCCGGTGTGCTTTTTTCTGCATGAGCATTAAGCATTTCTAGTTTTCGGCCCCATAGGGATGAAACTTGATATTACATACTACCAACTCTTTACTCATGGGGTGTTAAATGCCAACGTCAGCTGTGCATTCTTCCAGCTTCCAGAAAGGTGGGTCATGGCTCCAAAGGTCGGATTTAAGCGTCCACTTCCATTGATCTTCGGAATTGACTTCCACATGAAGCAAAGGTGTAGCTTAATCTGAAGTAAGAGCTTCCTGACGTGCGATGGCACGAGGTTGACACTTCCGCTGTGGTACGTAAGCTGCTCCGTCAGCCTTGTTCAGTAGCAAACACACTGGGGTGGTGTGGAGTGGGCTCATTGATTGTCTGCTGAACAGTCCGATGAACCACGGAAACGAACATAGCTTATTCTACTCTGAGCTGTGCCTGTTCTGCGTTCACTTGGTGGGTGTGGTTCATCTTTGGATAACCTTTAAGCTTACATGTGAGCCATGTTTTCTGCTGTCCCTAGAATGGACCCATTAATCTGAACCTCGGTATCATTTCGACAAGGATTGTCTAATTTCAACTGATCATAGATTCTATGATTTAATAAGCCTTTACAGGCCTACATCTTGCCAACACGATCGACGTTCTACATTGGTGGGTGGACAAGCGCCCCTTGTCATATTCTGTGGGTATACGTATGTCTGTTCTGGTCTCAAGCACCAACAGTCCCGATATGCATAAGCTCGCGTTGGTATTAGAGAAGTTCAGTCGTGCAGGATACTGCCGTCACTGTCTCCCATCATATATTGACACCTAACTATAGATTGACTACTACCTCCTGATCATCATCCAGATGGAGCTAGAGTCCTTATATCTAGTCCACAGATGTCTCAATAAGCCGGCTTGCTTTGAATAAGATTCTCCAGCTAGAATCAAATTTTACGAGCTGAGCCCCAAACTGCTCCAATTGAAAGTAATGTGCACAATTTCTGCCTCAGTTGTCAGAGCCCGCTTCTGGTGGAGCAGGAGTGAATTCTCCGGAACACAGTATCGCTAGGCTATCCAGTAAAAGACTAGGATGCTGAGGCAACGCACTCAGAACGATTATCTCTTATATTTTTACGTGGATGTGAGATCGCATGCTTACATTGGCCCCATCACATAGGAATATATATGTCACAAGTATAGTTTCTGACGCCGGAAGCCATTGAAGGCAGCCGAAAGCGCATCTACGAAAATGTGAGTTCGCAAGCTATTTGCATCTGATAGCCACCTCCCAAATATATACAATGTCGAGAAGCCGTATATCGTACATATATTTTTCAAAGATAGACGTTTTAGACATTCTTCCGGACTTCCTGGAAACGCACACATTTACGGATGCGCAGTTGAATGAAACCGCCCGTCGACATTAACAAAACGTACAAGAGAACTTAAGATTATAACATCAAAAATTGCAACTCGGAGTAGTGTGGATACTAGCACACTGGTAGATGCTAATAATTGTGGTTTCTAGAGATAGCCCTTTATGATTCATGGGGGCTAGATAGGGTAAAGATAAATATTCCCGCTGGGTGGATCGAGAACCAGGCAACGATATTTTACATTCCACGATGGATAGAAAAGAGCAGTGCGACACGTGGCTCGTGTTTCTGGTAGTTGTTGACCATTATCTACCCTGTTAGAATGTTCCTAGCAATGCTCACGGCTTTACGCAGCATTGCAATGACAGAAAGTGTTGACCTGGGGTTTCGCATACTTAAGCATATTCCACATCCGGAGTGGTCCTCATTCAATGTGGTTATCTTAAAAATATCTCCATGACGAAAACACTGATATTCTTAAAGATAAAAGAAATGCTACGTACAGTTTGCAGTATTATCTCAAAATCCTGTGATAAAGGCAAGTGAGAAGAGGTTACTAGGCAGAAGGACGGCGGGCTGCGATGTAGGAGATAGCTTGCTAGAACATAACAATACGATTTCAATGGTCCGAATGTAATCATTCCACTTTACATTCCTTCCAAGGGTCTTCCTACCGAGTAAGCATCATGATATATAATTAGCCTTCCTTAACGCTGCGCACTGGTCCCCTACATCGAGGAACGGAGCACTGACTTTCGTGCAATAATGACACCAACTCTGATTTATACATGATGGACAAGGCTGATCAAGTATACCCTTTAACCCTGACCACTATATACCCCAACTGAGTCTTCCATCCCCAAAAAAATACTGCTTCTTGCTGCGGATGGCACACTGGTGTTGAGCAACTTGTGTAGCCGAACAAAATCTCAGATCGGTAGTTGCCATTAGTATGCTATTCATATCATCAAACATGTCGCATAATTCCAAGAAACATCACTTGAAGTTCTCGATTGCTATCCTAGGATATATTGTCAATGGAGTGCTATGTCAAGTCTGTATGAGCAGATGGAGAAGTAGTAGTGGGTCAATTTCTGGTCGAGTCAGACAGATCGCCTAATAGCATGATAACTTAAACACTGATTTATATATATCAGCTAATTTGTATTGCGTTTCAACAATTGTCATATGCTCGTGTAGGATGTGCCCCAGTAACTGATTATATATGTATTAACTTGTTTGTTGCTAAATATACTTCACTCGTGACATGAAGTCCACAGCAGATATATACCATGACGGTGAATAGTCAGATGACATATATCCAACCAAAATTATGTAGGTAGACCAGGAAATTGATAGCTCTCTCAACTGACCTAAGGTACAGTATGTCTAAGAAGCTCGAGGCTCTGTAATTAAGTCATAGATATCCGCCGAGTCATCATGAATAGCAGCGAACTGCCAAATGTGTTATTCTTAATGAAGATCCCAACCAACAGTTGTTAGAAAGAGACACTCTCAACCCCCAAAACCGGTGAACAACACAACTAGACAAACTACTCTACTACATCTCGTATTCAAACCAAGCTCACTGGACGCCAAGACTTCACTATACCCCGCGCGGTACAGCAGACCAGTCCCATCCAGTCACTATCATTACAGGAGAAGAGAAAAAGAAGCGAAAGAAAAGTGAGACCGGAAGAAGTCCGCGCCCGCGGCATCTTGAATCCTGCGGGCTGCAGCCTCCATCACAAAAAAGAGTGAGTTGTGTCGTATCGAGTTAGTCTCGTGACTTGACCGGCAGATTTGGTCCACACAGAACCAGTAAAAGTACGTACTGCATTTATCTGCGAGATAATGAATCCTGTCTGTGGGATAAGCGGGTGCACGGACTGTTATGATTTTTTTTTTCAGTTTGGTGCTTATGCTGCTGACAGTCCACGGTATTAAAGATGATGTAGGTGTAATTAGTAGGAACTTTTGTTCCATCCAACAGGAGTTGAAGAGGTATCCGACGGTAACTAGCAGCTATCCGAGGCTAGTTAACTTACTGTGGTGTTTAACTTTCGACAACCTGTTCAATGTTCACTCATCACAAACTGTAGTTAACTAGTTGTCACGGGCTGGCTGTTAGTCACCCGCAGCTGCAACATGCTTAACATGCAGTATCTGACCGTAATAAGCCGAGAGTGATATACCCCCCCAAA